CAATGAAATCTTCTGCCCCACCCCCCACCCCGGCGATAATTAACCACCGGTTACCACATGCGTTGTAGCGAGGGGGAAAAAAAACCACACAACCACTACAAGGGTAAGTTGTCTTTTAAATACACTTGTTAATGACCTCAGATTAAATGCAAATCCAACTGTATGTGGATTAGTCAACGCCGCGTGCACAGCACGTGATTATCAAATCAAGACGACATGCGGAACAACATGTCCAAGTAGAGATAAGGAAATTGTGGCCAGGTGTTAACTGTTCTGCAGAAATTATTCTGCCGATACTATGTCAAATTAAAAGAATATCAGCATTCCTTTTAAAATATCCCACGTGTGCAAGAAGCATTATGTTCAGAATACAAGAAGACTAAATGTTTCCAACTTTTTACACTAGCCCCAATCCCGCTCTTCCCTCGTCAGATTAATATCAAAAAGGGCAGATGGTGACAAATGATTCGTTAAGGTTCACTGTGTTCTGTTTTCCGCATTGTATAGATATTATTCTAACCCGCCCGTTCTAGATTAAATGTGGAATATAATCGAAATACTTAATCTCCCTTAAGTAAAATGTCTTCTCGTGTCGGAGCAAGTTTTTACTATATTCACAACAGTCTTTGCCCAGTTGACAGGACATTATTCTGGAGTCGAGGAAGCCTTTAGTTTTCTTTTCAAATAGCCTGATCTTTAAAATAACATTTAACACACTCTTTCAAGCATTTGAGAGCTAGTTGTTATGTGGTAAAATTTTACACGTGGTAGAAAGTCTGCGGACTGCAATTCAACACACACAAACCTTTTGGTTGAATCCTCTGATTTCCTGCTCCCGATTCGCTTTAAGAAGCTCCACTTGTTAGAGGCAGTTTTGTCACGGGAATTTTCAATTCCGTCAAGAGCCAGGGAAACACCCAGCGACAGCGTGAGAACCAGGAAAATCTATCGGCGACAAAAACAAAATCTAATAGTGAATGTTAAATTTAAAAAAAAATGTTGTACACATTTGTCCTGCTCAGGATAATAACGCTTATACTCTTCAATTGCCAGGAAACCTGCCTCCTCTCATTTCATTCGCTTTTATTTTTAATTTCTCTGTTGTTTGTTGAAACCACATTTGTTTTGGTATAAGCTGTGTTTCATGTGAAGCTTATACCTGGCGCCATGATCAAGACGGATCATCTCCTTTTGCAACCAGAGAATTTGTCGAAAATTCAGTAAGTTTTCATTATCAGAATTCCATCGTGTGACTAGTTTAAATCACAAATACAGATCATCGAGAGCCTTATCGCTAAGAGTAACCACCAAAAGAAACTTCAACAACCTTGTTGGCTTATTTTTGAAGATTCGAATATGTTTTGCAACGTCACTACGACCCGAGAAAAAGCGAAGTATATTTGTAAACAGCCATCTTGTCGCCGATGCCGGTGCGCGCAAATTAGTGTTCCAGTTGCCTACAAACCTCAGTACCGGCGAAAATCGTTCGAATTTTACTTACCCTTAGGTTTGCCATGTGTAAATCGTCGATACAATTACCAAGGTTTGTTTGAATAACAAATTCGCTGTAACAAGCTGTTGTTACCGTCAGCGCCAATACCTCTTGATATGGATTACACTTAAAACAACACGACTTATATATCTTCGAGTTGCATCGCTAGTAATTGAGGTTGTTAGGACTCATCAAACATATTGTTCTTCAGCAAGTCAGGCGTAAATCACACAATAAACTCACTTTATTTAAAACTGTCACGAAAGCAGTCATAAACTGTTTTGAAGTCAAGCAACCAACATCTAAGTCTTCTCTTGAACCAACCATACAAACCACTACATACAAGACTACCTTTTCCAGAAACTCTTTGTAATTTACAACAAGAAAATCGCCGGCAATAAACCTATATCGTTATTTGACGTAATGTATATCGTTCTTTTCTACGTTCGACGTCCGGTTAAAAACCCCCATGGTCAACTCTACGACAATGTATGCGGCTGTCGTCTGTGAAACGCTTGACTTATTTTGATCATATTCATATATTTCGTGTTGCCATCTGATATTGCTGAGAAATTTCGAAACGCAAGCCGACACACGAAACAATTATTTCTTTGGTTCGTTTCCTTTGTTTATCGTCGGACGATTACTCCAGAGCGCTATAGTTGTCACGGTTTTACAGGCCTTCAGTTTTCTGTTTTCGTATCATGCATATCATTAATGTCCAAGATTTGCAATTCACTTTACCACGTTTGCATTTCAAGAGTCCGCAAAGGTTCTGTCGTCTAAGCTTACTCTAGTCTTAAACTTTTCTTTCAAAGCCGTTCCCAAACTTTCATCGCAATTTTTTACATGAATAGAAATAGGAAGAACGAGAAGTGCTCCTTAGGATAGATTCGCACAGATATTCGTCCTGTTCGAAAACAGTTTCCTCCATCGCCATGCACAGCTGTAGTGTAAACAGTGACTAATATTTACATCATCGTAATTGTAATCAAGTCAATTTTTCAGGACCGGCTACTTCGAGTTTAAGCTCTGCTTGGCGATTAGCGAAAACCTCTTTTATTTGAATCAAGAAACTTGACATGTTTTGATGTTCCTGAAGTCAATTATTAAAACTTTCCCTGAACACTGACATATTCACATTCATCTTGCGACGATAGGTCAATGACTGGGCTAGTTCATTCTGCCGAATTTCCTGTTTCGATAGACCAATGCGGAAAAAGTGCATGTAAATTACGCAGTCAAGGCCAAATACAGACTCTCTTTCTGTTCAATGACTTGTAACTAAATAGTGGAACCGCTTCTTTGATGAATACACGCATAGGCCTGTGGCGAAACAGATCTCATGATTCACAAGCTTAACTCGTTCCATCCCAACATCCCCAATGCTCTATATATTATTTTCTCTCAACCGGAAGAGTCTGCGATATGTTGTATTCGTCATAAAGATGTTT